TCCTTCCTTCCTTCCTTCCTTCCTTCCTTCCTTCCTTCCTTCCTTCCCTCCTTCTTTCCTTCCTTACTTTCTTTCTTACCTTCCTTTTGCCCTCCCTTCCTTTTCCTTTCCTATCTTCCTTCCTCCCTCCCTCCTTCCCTTCTTTCATTCCTTTCTTTCCTCCCTCCCTCCCTCCCTCTCTCTGTAGCTGAAGCAGATGCAGCAGCTGGAACGAGAATGCGATGCCTTGTTACAAGGCCTGGACATGGTTAACCAGGTACGCGACTGGTTACAGTGCCACCTGCTGGAAGCTCAAAAGCGCCAGAAGCACATGGGAGCCCAGGCGGTAAGTCAGGGCGGGCAGCCTTTTTATCTGCCACGACTGTGGTGGCTCTTCAGGCACAATCCGAGGGAGTTGCATGGCAAGCAGGTCTCCAATAAAGAGTAGGTGGGTGCCGGGCCAAGTGTGGCCTGAGACAGCTCTAAGATGGATGATTGCCAGCCCCCCCTGTGAGTAATAACAGAAACACACCGAAATTGGCTTTATATAAACACACAATAAACAATGTAGGCTTTGCGCTTCTTAAAAGCATGTCTGTCTGTCTATCTCAGGGATCTTCAAACTTGACAGCTTTAAGACTTGTGGACTTCAACTCCCAGAATTCTTCCTCGAGTCATGTTAGCTGTTGAGGTATTTCCCGTTAAGAGAATGAGTGCACTCAGGGAAACATAGTGAGGTGATGAATAACACACAACCAGCATACAGATACACTGAATAGTAAAATGTAGGTTTTACTTCCAGTAAACGGGTAAACAAAGTCCCAAAAACAGTCCAAATCATACACGATTAAAGCAGTTAGTGTTCAAAACAATCAGTCGAGGGATAATCCAAACATGACGTTCTTTTCTTTACCAGTATCATAAACAAAGTTCAGTAAACAGAGTTTACGAACAGTTGCAAGACTCACAGCAATTCAAGCAGAATGACGATCAGGCAAAAGGCAAAAGGAAATGCAAAGAAAAAACAAACCAGGTGTTATGACTCCCCTTCAAAATTCAAACGAACAAAACAGAAAGCAGCCGTTTCACAATTAAATCAAACGGAAAGAAGTCTTACAAGATAACGGCTGGCAGAAACCACAGCATAAATCTTTACTCTGTCCAGCAAACCAGTCCTGGCAATAAATCCTCATCCTCAGAGCTCTTTGCTGTAACTTCCTCACTCAAATAGTTATTTTGTTCCTGGCAAAATGTACCAGCCCAGCTGTGTCCTTTTATACTCATTAAGGCAACGTGCTAATTTACTGACTTGCTCTTCTCATTCGCTCCAGCTGATTTTGCCTTTTCAACCGTCTTCTATTTTTTACATTTAACCACAAATTTTCCAAGTTCTCATCTCCACTAGAAGACTCTCTCAAAACTTCCCTGTCAGCCATTCCCGGCTGTTGATCAGATAAGGAACCAGAGGAGGTCAAAGGTCCTGACAATTCTAATACATCAGGTCTGTCGTCCTTTGTCACGTCCCTCTCCTCATCCTGGTTATCAGTCCAATCAGTAAGCCAGGCTGGTTCATATTGTTCTGCCATAACCTCTTCACTTGAACTCATATCAATCACAGGAGCTGAATCCAAGTCCGGAGCCACAACACCAGGTTTCTGGCTCCATCTTATGGCCGTTGGAGAAACCTCAGCCAATCATAATTACAGCATTCTCCTAAAGATACAACAGTATTAAATGACTATCCTGGTTTATATATTGCCAACCCAACTTTTAGGTGACTATCATTCCTAACATTAGCTCAGGAATTCTGGGAGTTGAAGTCCACAAGTCTTAAAGCTGTCAAGTTTGAAGACCCTTTGTCTATTTATTTATGGAGTTGGCAAACTCTTAATTGACTGCAATATGTCATATGGTCTAGTACAGGTAGTCTTTGACTTACGACCACCATCGAGCCTCAAATTCCTGTTGCTAAGTGAGACATTTGTTGAGTTTTGCCTTGTTTTATGACCTTTCTTGCCACAGTTGTTAAGTGCATCGCTGCAGACTACTGGGATGTCACAATGGTCATAAGCGTGAAAAAAACAGTCTGAAGTCACTTTTTTTGTTTTCCCTTAACATTTTTATTGGGTTACAAAATAAAATAAGATACAAAAGACAAAAGACAATAGGAAAACAACGGGGAGGAAGGGAGGATTGGAAGAAAAGTGAAGAAGGATTAAGAGAAAGAAAAAGAAGCATTGACTTCTGACTCCCTCTGTTACAGTAAAGCAAGGCATTAACATCAAATCACAACTTTTTGTTTGTATTTATTTTTCCTTTTTCTTTTTATGAACACTGAGAGCATCTGCACCAAAACAAATTCCTTGTGTGTCCAATCACACTGGCAAATAAAGAATTCTGTTCTATTCTATTCTATTCTATTCTATTCTAAACTATGGTCAGTAAATGAACGGTTGTAAGTTGTAAGTTGAGGACTACCTGTAGTTAAGGCAACAGGCTAGATAGAAGCCCTGGAGGTGGTGAATTCAAATACCGCCTTAGCTGTGAAAGCCAGCTGGGTGACCTTGGGCCAGTCCCTCTCTCTCAGCCCAACCCAACACAGGGTTGCTATTGTGGGGAAAATAGGAGCAGGAAAGAGTGTATTAAGTATGGCTGACACTTTGAGTTACAGCAACAGTATTAAACTAATTTCCTTCCTTCCTTCCTTCCTTCCTTCCTTCCTTCCTTCCTTCCTTC